TCTTGACACTGTCTTTCTGCACTTGACCTATTCATCGAGTGAGTTACCTCTGGCGCTGAGACCTTCAAAGTTTCCCAAATTATAATTCTCTTAAGATTATCATTACTTCGTCTTGCAATATGTTCAAAACATTTTAAAACGCCTGTGAGACAAATAGAGAAGCTACTATCGTTAGCTAAAATAATGAGAGATCACAATTATATAATAACCGAAATTAGACATAGGAGCAATTTTCGATAAAGATAGTTTGCCTGTGTGAATACTATTTTATTCCCTCTTAAAAGATGTCTCGCTTTGGAGAGAGAGATCTTTGTCTACCTATTTATATAAAGGATCTCACATGCACCTGCTCTTTCTTTATATTTCTCATATATCCCCTTCAGATGCCGTTATCACAGATTGCACCAAGTATTCTTCTTAAGATCTTTCGTTCGAAGATGACTAGATGATTTGCATCTATTTTAGAAATAGTCCACGTTTGCGACTGGCAAAGTGACTGACAGTCACGTATGCCTGGACATGATAAGTATCTTATATTTTGTTAGTTCGGTTTTTGTTCTTTAGGTATTTTCTTAAACCAACCTAACACCTCTTTGCTAGTAGTATCTTTGTGAGTCGACCGGTTTTTCCTTCTTTTATTGTGAGTGATTGTATATATTTTCTGCGGCAGTTGACAAGGATGTGAACTCTTCTTTGGGTCAGTGAAAGCGATAAGGCCACGCATCACCAACGTATGCCATAATTTGTGTTTATTTGCTAAAATTTACTTCCCTATTATATAAATCAATATAAACGGTTCTTTTCAGAGCATTCTTTCAGTTGTAATATATTCTTAACTACAAAAATTAACGAAAAATCTAACAAATGTTTTTTGTTACGTATTTACTCATATTAATGTCATCTGGATACTGTCAACGCATACAGACCGCTCATATGAGCGTCTATATTTGATGATACTTCATTCGCATGAGCTTAAAAAAGTTATCACACGGTTATTTTCACAATGAAAATGACATGACAAAATTTTATATTTTAGATGAATAATAATGAACGTCTTATTTCTTATAAACTGTAGAATACTACGTTATTGCTATTATCAGAAACGTAACATAAATATTTTTAATTTTCATAAATTATAACTAAAGATATGTGTCGGAGTCAACATACATTGAGAGGGATCTTTTTATAGCTACCATCAAATTAAAATGAGTGTATCTTGTAAATTTAGTCTTAACCGTGTTTTGATATGATATATAACCCAAAGTATATCAAAAAATATTGGACGGTCCAGAACTGTTATTAAAACTATAATTAATTTACAATATACAAAAATAATATTCAATAAAAGATAGATAAATAATATCAATCACTACCACCATCCACCAAAATCGTTTCAACCATTGACAAATCCTTGTGTATATAAATTAATCATTTCAAATAAAATTTATTTTGATAATTTATTACAGAAATACAAAACAAAACCTGTTTGTGCCTCTACTATCTTTTTGATTAATCCTCGAAACAAAGTATCAACTTATGCGCAACAAAAATCCTTGCATTCTGGACACCTGTGATATCAGAGACAAAATATACCCATTGGTCAGAAAAAACGCTCAAGGAAGAAAGTATGGACGTAATGCCATTATTGGAATCTCAGTAGAATTAAAAATTTTAAAGTTCAATAACTAACTCTTTTATACAGACGTGGCCATAAGTCAGCTGGTTGTCCTCGAAAACGATGCATGCGCGAATTCCACCGCTCGCCTACGTTCAGCGTGCGTTACTACCGGTGGCGTTACCTAGCAACACGGCTGGCTGAGCATAGGTCAGTGCTAGTCAACCTCGAGACGGAGGAATACCGGCCCTTTCGTGCATTTAGTCGTTGCGTTTCGAGTAAAATGGCAGAAAACGTTCGCGTTAAGTGTATGTTAGAACAAAGTGTGTTTTTATTAAAACAGTTTTATTGTCCGGAGTGTGATTATGAAATTATTGAAGACTTATAAAAAGGTGGCCTAATGCACATTTTTCAAATCGTAATGGTGTTTCGTTCGACGCCCACAGATGAGAATATCATTTCAGTCGCGCAACAATTCGGCACTTTTTTTTCGACGGGTCCGTTAATTCAGAAAGATACTTGGAGATTTTACAAGAATTACGTATAAATTTCGATGGATTTGACAGATTCGAAGAATGAAACATCATTTTACAGCAGGACCGCGCTCCTGCGCATTTTGGTCTGGAAGTTCGCGCTTCCCTAAACCAGCACTTTCCTGGATGGATTGATGGAGGTGGAATAGAAACCTTGGCCTCCAAGGTAGCCAGATATTATTGTAGATTTTTAGATCTGGGGAATGCTTAAGAACAGAGTTTTTGGGCATACGATGGAAAACGCCATAGATCTCAAAGATTTGATAACAATCGAGTAAAATATCATCGAAGATTTCGCGACGCTTGCTGACATTATTAATTCGAACGAAAATCGTTATTTCAAGTATATTGAGATAAATGGTAAACCTTTTGAAAACTTGTAAATACATTAGTATCTACATCAGTAAAGTTTTGCGTTATAAAGAAATAAAAACAAAGTTTCCTCCATGTTTTTAATTTTTTTTGTTGCAAATTTGCCAGCTGACTTATGCCCACACCGTATTATTCACAGTTTTGTCAACTTTTTGTTTGACACTACAACAATCTAAGAAATCATCCGATTAACGAACTATGATGAAAACAAACCAACTGGGCACAGAAGATCCAGACACCAACTAGAAAGGTATCAACCTGAAGAGCGCAGAGAGAAACATGAAAAGGTAGTCACATAGTAGAAAACAGGACTCAACGAGTTGGCAGTGCACTTGATCTGGTATATATATATTGTTAGAAGAGGTTAGTTAATAAAATAGGATATGTAAGTTTAGGAAAATAAAAAAGAAAATAACATACACGAGGCATGTGAGGGCACTATACACCTGGGAATGCATGACTCACCTTTTAAGTTAATTATTACTATTTCACACCATTTAATCTGAGTCTTCTGATGGAGCAACCGAGATTCCTGACCACTAAAGCCCTGCATCGTTAGGCAGGGACAAAGGTTTGGTAGCCAGACTTTCGGATTGACGGCTGGCGAATTAAGTAAATACCGTTTACCAAGTCGCCAGCCGATCGTCCGACACACACATAACCGCAATGCGGAGAGCCGGTGAACAAGGCCAAAAATCAAATTACCTCGATGTCCCAGGACATCAAGATCAAAAACAAGTAAAGCCTCCCCAACGTTACGCCTGTGATTAGGGAGGGGCGGGCCCCGCCTCGTGGCGGGGCCCTTTGATTTTCGGACATGACAACACCCTACTCCGGGAATATCCCTGGAGCTGGGATTTACTTTGTTGGGTGTATGAGTATTTATGTTCGTGTGTCTTTAATAAATTACACTTTCAGTTTTGTTTAAGCTAATGTTTGAATCTTTCTTAAATAAAATAAATATAATAATATTACAGTAATAATAATACAGTTTCAACAACATTTATTGATGTGGCGATACTTAACACCAATAATTTGTGTGTTAAATACAAAGAAAAGATCGTCAATACAAATCAGGAGACAATGGAGAATGGAAAGGACCCAAATAGTAACTATTCTTTTATCTACTACTGGTGGTATTCCGAAAAACCTCCTAGCGAACATAAAACAGCTGGGTCTACGAAAGATGTGTACAGTGTAGTGGAGATGTATATGAAAATTTTTGGGAGATACTTCAGCAAACCAAGGCTCACTTAAGGCTCGATAATAAGGAAAGAGTCCCACCAGAGCTGACACCTTTTGATACCGTAGGTATCTGGGATGAGTGAATTTTCCCCTAGTAGAGGGAGTGTGAGCCGTATGGCTAAATCTGGATACAGAATAGGGACATAAATGTGTTAGAAAGAGAAGTACCTTTTAGGTAAGTAAGAATGAGAACGATATATGTTGACGTCACAAGCCCTGTCACAATATTTAATCTAAATTAATTTAGAAATTATTTTTGTAGTTCAACTATTATCCGCTAGTTAGCACCAGTCACTTGTCACTTTTTAAATCTAAATTTATCTACATTTGACATCATATGTAGCATTTGATATAATACGTAACACTTGTGGACACATGGGCTGGACTTGTGACGTGAACATATATCGTTTTCACTCTTACGTACCTAAAAAGTACTCTCTCTCTAACACTTTGATTTTCCTGTTCTGATAGTTATACAAACGTAGGTTATCTACTCACAATCACCCAAATACTCAAAACCTAATACAGCAACACCCCATGTTATTTTTTGATCTTTATAACAACCTTATAATCCGCAGTTCGTATTAATTGCACTATCAAATGAGATGACAAGTATCATATCCATCTTAAATGTAACTTGAATTTATAGTCTGTCATTGACAACTATTTTGTACGTTGAGTATAATGCATTTTACAATGCGTCGGATAAGGTAAGATATTCCTCTATCCAACTACTCCTTATTTAAATTTATGCGGTATCAACTATTAGAACAGTTGCGATTCAAACATTTCGAATAAATTTTGCCTAATTTATGTTATCGTGGTGATTATACTAGAAAACAATAAATTAAACTTACACATTAAATGATAGTTTTTTTTGTGTGTTCACTCTCACACATTTCCGCAAAATCAGTTAGTGTCGTGTTTTCTAATTTTAATTTTTACTGAGCATTACAATATTTGAGACAAAGCTATTGTAGATCAGCTGCCAGTATCTTTAAAGCAAACAACAAACAATTCAGTAAATGCAAAATCTTAAGTTTATATTGTTAAATATTTTATGTGATGTGTGTCTCGTGATTTACTACAATACTAATACCAGAATGTACCTTACTAAAAATAATGTCTTTTAAAACTACCTGATATTAATTAAAAAAAGACTCAACGATGGCTTCAATAAAATTACAACAAAAAGTAGTAATTAAACAGATTTTTTAAATAAATACCAGATTCCACTAAACTTCAAAACCTTTAACCTCACCCCTAACCACCGGTTTTTCTGTCCTTGTATGCCACACATAAATTTTAGAACAATTATTTGCTAGAGGTTCGAGCCCTTCTTTCGTAGTGAAGAAACTTAAAAATTCGGTTTCCTGGTAACCCTTTTCCATCTTGTAAGAAAAGCTGGCTTCCGGTTTTTGAAGTATAAGGTCTAGATTTATAGCGAACCCGGCCATATCTATAGCGAATGGGCGATTAGGTTTCCACCCGCTTCTATAGCCTTTCACTTTTCCTAAAAAATAAAACAGTAGTCTTAAATATAGTTAAATATAAGTAAAATTATTAATGGTGATAAAAAATGTTCAAAAGCGATCAATTACCATACTTAAACTAAACTAAAAGATGGGGGTTAGTTCCAAAACCGGACAACTGCGTTAATTCGCTCTGTCACTGTGTGCGCCACCGTCAACGTGTGTTTGATAGGTTAAGTTTCACATGGAGGTAGCACGGATCAGAGTTTTAATTATCTTTATGCGTTGCATAGTTTTAACATTCATCATTTTCAATAATTTGACTTAATTATTTTTTAATTTTTAACTACATAAATAAACATATGGCTACATTAATTCCACAAGAAGTGCATGTAATAAGGAAAAGTTAGAGAAATAAGCGCAATTCGAAGAAAAACCAGAGCGATAACCAGTCTGAACACGCTGTGCATAACGATGGTGTAAGTTGTTTTACGCATGAGATGGCAATGGCTAATATTGACAAAAATACACCCACATGTAAATAGTACATACTTTTTTCTTCGTTTTTGAGAAATATTTTATAAGATTTAATTTTATTTTTTGTTCGATTCATTCTTTTATAACAATATTATACAAAAAAGTAATTCTGGTTTTATTGTTTTATTATCGTTTTTAAAAATGATCATTCAGCAAAAGCTTGCTATAGTCGGGCAATTTTCAATTAAAGGTGACTAATCTACAAATTGAACTAAACGGTAGCGGCAACCATGTAAAATGTCAGCAGTTAATTCTTACCAGGATCATTTTTATTGTGTATGCTTCGCCCATGTAAATAAGTGAAAAAGTAAGATAGTCTCCATAAAATTTGAACCCGAAACAATATAAATTGGTGCGATTCACGAGTCGATAGTGAGAAAAGTTTATTGAATGGTTTGAAACATAGGTAAACTTATCAATATTTTGCTGGTCTATAGATATTTACGTTCTTAGAAAGAAGGGGAATGAGAAAAATATATTTTAGTTTATTCCTTCCACATTATATATGTGCATACGCGTAGTGTGTTCTATTTCTTGGGAATATACATATATATATATATATATATATATATATATATATATATATTATATATATATATATATTATATATATATATATTGTTGTACTTTTGAATGTCTGTTAGCAATAAAAAACCGATATACAAATTTTATTTCTTAAATAAAAATTAAAATTATTGATATTTCATAATGACACGGGCATATAAATTTTCAAACATCCTGTATAAGACAAAATATGTATTTTAAGTTGTTCAAAGAATTGTTCATTAGGCCTCAGAGACAAGACTTTCAAATATTATCGATAAGAAATTTAAATAAGTCGGTTATTGTGAAATGGATTTACCCGTAATAAAAGTGTATATAGAAAGTGTTTAAACAATAGACCGGGATGTGCGGTGGTTTTTCCCCCCGAAAGATTATATCGGTAAAAGTTTATTAACAAAAGACATTGAATTGAGAAACAGGTATCGTTTGTAGCTATTAGTAAGAAATATTTGTAAAGCAGATAGATTTAGTTAGAATAATTAAAGAATGTTGTTTTCTGGAATTACCCGAATGACGTTTTAATAGAGAGAGTTGGTTGATAACGATATACGTCACAGAGGTAGAAGATTTTTATTGGTCAATTTTTGAATGCAAGGAGGGGTGGTTTTGGCTATGAGATAGGAGAGAGGAAAGGAGTTAGTCAGTTTTCGTCGCCCAAGAAGGAAGGAGCTTTGTGATTTGTGTTTGTTTGAAGTCCCGAAGACGTAATTTACCGGGTGTGTTTATTTGCTGTGTAAAAGCTGACCAGTGTGAGGAAAGGGGTACAGAGAGATAGAAAAACCAAAGGGTATAAGAATATTAAGATCAGACGAAGCCGGAAACATTTGGAGTTATAAACAGGCGCGGAGATTGGCTCAAAAGGAGGCTGCATAGAATAAAACGAGTTGTTGGTTTGCAGATACAAGGACAGATAGGAGAAAGGTGTACGTCATCTGGACCACAATAGGAGCAGAAGCAGAGAAAGGTTTAAAGAAAGGTCAGTCAATTTTTCATTGGAGCAGGAGTGTGGTTTTCATTTATTAATTAAATAAATTGAATACATAATAGAGACAGTTAATTTTGCGATCATTAAAAAAAAAAATTATAAAAAGAGCTTAGTTATAACACATATTAAAAAATCAATGTAAAATAACATTTGGGTCCATGATAGAAAACAACTTCTCATATATTTAAAGTTAGTATATTGCAAATATTACAGGATTGATTGTTATATAAAATTTCAATAAAATAAAGGACATCTCACATATACTTCAGTTGAAATTCTGTGTATTTTATTCAGGTCATATTACCTATCCCAATTAGGAAGCCAATTGGAAAATATTTTGAATCCACGATCAAAGGTAAATAGTACAAGTTAAATAGCCTGAGATTGTAATTAATTAATGCTGATTTAGTGTGATTAATTGGAGATTAGATCATTTAATAAATATAGACAGGATTTTTTTAAATAAGCAAAATAATACAATTTAAATAGCATAACAAAATGGCCCCCAACGTGTAAAGCTTTGAAAAATATTTCTAGTTGGCAAATTTGAAAGGATAGGAGTAGACGAGCAGATATTTGAAAGTTTATATGCCGTGGATAAAGTGAAATATTATGTAAAATTTGAGGACATAAAGATTTATATATTTTTTAAGATACAATTTACCATAATTGATTTATTCGTGATATTGACAATTTATAGGTTACCATAATTGATTTATTTGTGTGATATTTACATTTGATAATTTTACCATACGTGAATTATTTGATTGAATTTGACATTTGATATTTTACCATTTGATTTATTTGTGGGATATTGAAATTTGATACTCGTACTCAAGAGTTATTACATTTGAACAAGAAAAGTCCCGTTTGGTGCAACAGACCAGTAGAATTTTATATTTGGCGGGGACAAAAACAACATGTCGACCACAAGGAGTCAAAGCAAAATGCAAGAAAGGAAGGAGGATAACAGACAAGAGGAAACAATGTTTGAAGAAGGATCGGATAAGGAAGGAAATGTTACAATAATAGAGGAAAGAAAAGAAACAGGGATGTTAGAAAAATTATTAGCAATGATGCAATTACAGACACAACAAATCGAAGAAAACCAACGGAAAACAAGACAAGCAATAGAACAGAAATTAGAAGAAAATGATAGAAAAATGGAAAAGCGTTTGGACAAATATGAAAATGAAGTAAAAGTCTGTTTAGAAAAAGTTAGTGAAACAGAGAGGAAACTAGAGATGCAGAGAGAAGAAATGGAAACTAAAATGAAGGATATTAAGGCTGTCCATAAAAAGGAACTGGAACAGTTAGAAGAAAAATTTGAAATGGCGTTACTAGAAGACAGGAAAGAAATGGAAAGGAAACTTAAGCAAAATGAAAAACAAATTGCAGAGATGGAGATAAGAGGAGTAGAAAGAAAGGAAGTTATCGTACATAGCACAGAAGACGTAAAAGTACGATTTGGCGGGGATATAAGGAAACTACACCCAGTGCCTTTTATAAATAACCTAAAGAAAAAAGTCACATACATAGGACCGTTTGCAACAGCAAAGGAAACCATCCGAAACCATCTCAAAGAAGAGGCAAATCTTTGGTTTGTCAGCAAGGAAGAAGAATTTGACAATTGGCAAGATTTTGAGAGAAGATTCTTAAATTATTTCTGGGGAAAAATCCAGCAACTACAAGTAAATAAAGAGTTACAAAATGGAAAATACCATGAGAGGATGGGCGTATCAGAAACGATGTACGCATTACAACTCTATAATAATGCAAAACATTTGCAATATAATTATTCATCAGAACAATTGGTAGAGTTGATATCGCGACACTTTGAAGATACCTTGGAAGACCACATAAATCTCCAAAATTACAAGGACATTGACAGCTTATGTCAATTTTTGCAAATGAGAGAATCACGTAGGCATGAAAGAAGAGAAAGAAGACCGCAAGAAAATTATAGACAAAGAGAAAACCAAGAATATAGAGATAGAGGTCAAAATTTTAGAAGAGATTATACAAGACGAGAATTCATACCTAGACAGGGATACGAAAATAGACCGAACGGAAGAGAGAATTATGAACCCAGAACCCAGAGATGGAATGAAAACAGGGATCGGGAAAATCAGAGTAGAAATAACCGCCCATACCAAGGAAACCGATACAATAACCCACGGAATGAACAGGAATCTCGCGGTAACCGATACGGGAATGATAGACCAAAAGAGAACAGAAGAGAAATAAATAATACGCAAAGAGAAGAAAATGAATATGAGAGAGAAGATGACGGGCGAGAAAACACAGAAGAACAACAGGCGTGTTTTCAAGAAGACGCTCACTAAAAACGAAGAAACAAACAGGAATTTTTTGTCACCCCAAGGAATTTATTAAACTGGCAGGAAACAATGAAAAGAGAAATGGAGTTAATTTAAAATTTGTGGATGGATTTATAAATGAGAAACCAATTAAAATTATGATAGACACAGGCTCTGAAATAACACTGGTCAACAGAAAATTAATCGAAGAAGTAAATTTAACAAGTCTAATTTATAAAATACCTAGGGTGAATTTAGTGGGCGCAAATAAACGGACATTGGCAACAATAAATGAAGGTATACGAGTAATGGTACGATTGAAAAAAAATATGTATGCACTTCAATGTGTAATAATGCCAAATATGTCACATGACATGATTGTAGGCGTTGACGAATTAACGGAAAAACATGTAGTGATCGACTTCAAAACCAATACGATGAAAATAACAAAGGAAAAAGAAGAAGAACAGGATAAGGAACAAGAGAAACAAATTACGGACGAATCAGAGAAAGAACAAACGGTGGAAATGAACCTGGTGACAAAGAAAGGAAAAGGAAGAAAGAGGGATAAAGGTCAGAAAAAGATCAAAGAAAAAAAAACCTGGGATTCCTCAAAAGATGAGACGAGCTCAGGAGAAGAAGATGGAAAGATTTTGACAAGAAATGAAAGCAAAACTTGGGATTCCTCAAAAGAAGAGACGAGCCCAACAGAAGAAAAAAACAAAGGAAAATGAAGAGGACACAATGGAGACAGTGGTGTTTGAAAAAGACACGGAGTACACGGTGAATATGTGCGAAGAATTTGATGGGAGAGACACAAAATGGATATGTGGAGAAGGCAAAGAAAATGATTTGCGTAAAATTTTAAGAGACTATGAAACGCTGATAAATAAGGAAAACCGAGTGGCCACAAATACGTAGCATAAGTACAGTTAGCATACAGGAAGTGCGTTTTAGTTTGTCTCGAGAAAATTTAGTTGCATAGATTGATAAATTTTATCGATTACAAAGGCGGGGATTTGTTGTACTTTTGAATGTCTGTTAGCAATAAAAAACCGATATACAAATTTTATTTCTTAAATAAAAATTAAAATTATTGATATTTCATAATGACACGGGCATATAAATTTTCAAACATCCTGTATAAGACAAAATATGTATTTTAAGTTGTTCAAAGAATTGTTCATTAGGCCTCAGAGACAAGACTTTCAAATATTATCGATAAGAAATTTAAATAAGTCGGTTATTGTGAAATGGATTTACCCGTAATAAAAGTGTATATAGAAAGTGTTTAAACAATAGACCGGGATGTGCGGTGGTTTTTCCCCCCGAAAGATTATATCGGTAAAAGTTTATTAACAAAAGACATTGAATTGAGAAACAGGTATCGTTTGTAGCTATTAGTAAGAAATATTTGTAAAGCAGATAGATTTAGTTAGAATAATTAAAGAATGTTGTTTTCTGGAATTACCCGAATGACGTTTTAATAGAGAGAGTTGGTTGATAACGATATACGTCACAGAGGTAGAAGATTTTTATTGGTCAATTTTTGAATGCAAGGAGGGGTGGTTTTGGCTATGAGATAGGAGAGAGGAAAGGAGTTAGTCAGTTTTCGTCGCCCAAGAAGGAAGGAGCTTTGTGATTTGTGTTTGTTTGAAGTCCCGAAGACGTAATTTACCGGGTGTGTTTATTTGCTGTGTAAAAGCTGACCAGTGTGAGGAAAGGGGTACAGAGAGATAGAAAAACCAAAGGGTATAAGAATATTAAGATCAGACGAAGCCGGAAACATTTGGAGTTATAAACAGGCGCGGAGATTGGCTCAAAAGGAGGCTGCATAGAATAAAACGAGTTGTTGGTTTGCAGATATAAGGACAGATAGGAGAAAGGTGTACGTCATCTGGACCACAATAGGAGCAGAAGCAGAGAAAGGTTTAAAGAAAGGTCAGTCAATTTTTCATTGGAGCAGGAGTGTGGTTTTCATTTATTAATTAAATAAATTGAATACATAATAGAGACAGTTAATTTTGCGATCATTAAAAAAAAAAATTATAAAAAGAGCTTAGTTATAACACATATTAAAAATCAATGTAAAATAACATTTGGGTCCATGATAGAAAACAACTTCTCATATATTTAAAGTTAGTATATTGCAAATATTACAGGATTGATTGTTATATAAAATTTCAATAAAATAAAGGACATCTCACATATACTTCAGTTGAAATTCTGTGTATTTTATTCAGGTCATATTACCTATCCCAATTAGGAAGCCAATTGGAAAATATTTTGAATCCACGATCAAAGGTAAATAGTACAAGTTAAATAGCCTGAGATTGTAATTAATTAATGCTGATTTAGTGTGATTAATTGGAGATTAGATCATTTAATAAATATAGACAGGATTTTTTTAAATAAGCAAAATAATACAATTTAAATAGCATAACAATATATATATATATATATATATATATATATATATATATATATATATATATATTAAATAGATTTTATTATTAACTTTAAAATAGTTTTGAGGTAAGTGAAGTAAATTTGAGTCAAGTTTATTCTTTATATAGTCTTAACCCATTAACGGCAGCTCAATATACAAAGAGAAATTTGACAAATAATTTATTAAATTGGATTAAAAACACATAAATTAAGACTAATTTACAACCAAAAAGATTTTTTTTCCAATTTTTAATGAAAACAGTACAATTTTTAATAAAGGAAAATATTGTATCTTAAATGTAAATTAAATTTTAAGGTGAAAATTTTCGATACATTCGGGATGTAGATCCATTCTTCACCTTTGACATAAATAAATAGTACAGGTGACTCCCTCTATAATACATATAATATAATACATAACGTTAATATCTACGTCATTTTTGAAAACTGTAACCTTTGCGCAGTTGCCTTTCACTTGATGAAATTTCCGTTTAATAAAATTTTAAATTACGGCAAAACTATCAGTCCTAGTTATAGGACATCCATATATCATTCGAAAGAGAAAATTATTTTAAATGTAATAATTCATTAATCTACAGGGTGTTCCATTTAAAATAAGCCTACTATTACACATTTAATAATCCAATAATGAAACTACAAATTTTGAACACCCTGTAAATAAATGTTTTATAATTAATCATGAAATACATTTGACCAATATTCAGCTATTTAGATGTATGAGTAATTTTATTAGAACTGCTTAAATAAATTAAGAATAAGGCCACGTTTAAAGTTTTACATTTTAAGAAAATTCGACATAAATCAGAACACTCTGTACATAGGTATAGGGAAGTCTTATGAAACTATACCTTATTTTTTTCATAAAAAAATATAACTTTGAAACGCCGAGCCCTACTGTGACACTCTGTATATTTTAGAATAATTTTAAAATGTAGTCTTTATCATACCATACATGTAAAAAAATTTCAAAATCTTTTACCGTTTCGCTGTAATCTTCCGTCCCGTTAGTGGTGACTCACCCTGTATATAATATATTTATGTAGAATAGGTCCTACATGCAGGCATGTAACAAGTGTTAACTCACTTAGGTGCAAAATTATATAAACAGTATAATACATATAAATATATATTACCTATAGCATTATTCTTCAGTAAATATAACAATTTCACTTATAATATCAGTTTTATTATCAATAATAGTGAACTGTAAATTACTAATTAACTGATTCATTGTTTACTTATTATTTACTGGTAACGCACTGCAGTTTTTTATTTATTTATTGAGTCTAACTTAACTTTACTTAAATTAAATTATTTGAATCTGAATTTATTTTAAAAATGAGTATTATAATTACCAGTTAATTGATTTACCCTTGAGATCCCGTTAATACACTTGCCATTTTAATAAATATAAATAATAGTTAGGTTAGGTTAGGATATAGGGCCACTCCAAATAAAAATGTAAATGCTTGACAACACTGTCAGAAATCTAGCACTAATCCTACGATGTGAACTCCTCGCTGACAGCGAGAGAAATAAGCAATCCCTTCCACTTTTCAATTTGTTCTACGCGCAACCCGCCAGCTCTCGCTTGTCGGATAATAAATAATTAAATTTTTTTTGTACGCCTCTGCAAAATTGATAAGTAAAGATAAGCAAGTAATCACCTTCAATCAAAAATTGTGTTAGTATATCATGTTAATGAATTGAAAAGCCAAAAATATGGAGTAGGAGCATAATTCGTCAGTGATGCTTAAAATGTTTTGTCTTTTCAAATGTAGAAAATATAATGTAGTTTATTCACAAGCAGATATTTGATAAAAACTCAGATACGTTAAAAAATGTTTAAATTTATGATTCGGTGAACAAGGGTATAAAATATTTTGTGTTATTTACCTGTCTCGGGATTTAAGATTGGAGTTTCTACTGTCAATCCTGCTACTAATCCTACTGGCCATACACCAACCCTTTTAATTTTCATAATCTAAAAGAGAAATTTATTATAAACAATAAATTTTACAAATTTTGCAAGTTGTTAGTGCCTACAATCCTCAGAAATATTTATAAAGGCGAGCAAGAAAACGGATTATGGCGTAATCGCTATAATTTTGAACTTTACCGCCTTTATAGTGAACCTAGTATAGGCAGATCCACCAAAATAAGCAGACTGCTGTGGTTAGGCCTCTTAGAGAGAATGAACGAGATGAAGCAGTCGAAATACATTTATAACTAAAGGCCGGATGAAGAGAAGAGACAGGTCCAGAGTACGATTTCAGGACCAGGTGGAAGACGACTTATGAGTGTTCAAAGTATGAAATTGAAAAATCAAGGCGAAGAATAGGAAGGAATGGAAGCTGATCCTAGAACAAGCCAATACCCACTATGAAATGTAGAGCCAAAGTTTCAGAAAGCACCCAAGCCGGGACTCAGACACACACACAGTACTTTGTACAAGATACAAAAAACAACATCTGAGGATGCAGTCTATTAGCCAGTGGTAAATCATGATTCCTGAAAATATATCGAAGAAGGAATGATAGAAACTTTTGTTTAACTAATTTTTATCATGTGTTCAATTTATTCTATATAAAACTATGTAGTAAAAGGCGTCCCGTAATACCAAATAAATGCGAGGGGTAAATGACTCCACAGTTCCGCACGAAGCGAATACAAAATATTATAATATAGATAGAAATTCAGATTTTTACTGTAAATGATTATACAGAAAATATGTATTTATGAATAATAGTATTTGGTAACTTGATGAGGGAGATAAAGTTTACTTTTTTAACAAAAAAATTTCGTTATGAACTTATTATTAAATTGTAAGATTAAAATCAAATGACTAAAATTTGTGAAAGGTTACTTTGGCCGGATTTATTACTGGATCTGTACTCTGTAAACCCACTTCTTCGTCTAACTTAAATTGACTGAAGACGAAACTTTCCTTTGGATTCATTTTTTCATTACCAAAAACAATCCCAACTTCTGGGCCTCCTTTCTGGGAGTCCATTTTAATAGGGAGCCCAAACACTCCAGATTAAACTGAACATAACACATTTAAAATATGGTACAGATTAAAAAAAATCATTATGGTATGAGCCTAATCATCACATATTCATGTTATTTGGAAAGTATCGAACTTAGTAGTGAAGTTCGTTTCGGTTCGTAAATGCCCCTTTGTCCGCTTCTCGTCGATCCATGATGATAGGGTTAATAAATGTTGAAGTTGTGGAGTAAAGGTGATGATTTATTGACAGCAACTCGTAATTACACAATATGGTGTTCGTTCGGTAACTACTCAATATTGACTGTGTTCATTTGAACTCAAATCCCCAATTTATAATCTCACACATAATAGATACATAAGCACCTTAGGTCATTGCTTCGTTCATATCACACCACCTAACTTTTGCTTATAATACAATTTAATCTACGCCTTAATTGCGACACTTAGGAAGTTCAATTAGAAAATATTATTATTCGGTAATTTATTTAGTTGTAGGTAAATGAACTAATTATTAAATTATCATACGATATGGTTTTGCAATATATATATATATAATGCAAACTTATACACGGTGAAACTATAAAAGATTAAGAAGTTAAGAATAATGTGAGATTACAAATTAAGGGGTTAATTTGTGATTGAACATATTGGCCACTATATAAAACAAACAGACGAAAATATTTAAACACATATAAAATATAAATAATAATAATAGTAATAATAAACATAATACTAATTCACTCGGTTTTTGGAATTATTATCTCACTCGAGCAGTGCTACCTATAATTTGATTATTTAGAATTCATGTTTCAGCTAAACTATCTAATTCAAATCTAAGCTCATTAAGTGAAATTGATCTAGGAGGGGCTTTCTTTAAAGTACTACCTAAATTTGGTTGTGATAAGGTATGTCTTCGAGGCGCTGGATGAGGTTGGATGTAAGAACCTTGATGCCTTTGTTTTCTGGCTCTCTTGGAGTTCCGAAAATATTTGACTACCTTCCACGTAATGGCAATCAACATAACAATGAATAAAGTGACTAGTCCCGTGGTTAAATGAGGAATCCACTGATGGTTAGCAATGGTTTTCCACGTGTGTTCTGATATATCTTGGTCAAACTGCTCTGCCTCAAGTATAATATTTGGCAACTCATCTTCCCGAATATCTATATTATGTTTGGGAATGTTGTTCTGCTTTATGATTGGCCTCTGCATAAGCTCTGCAATGGGACTGACAGGAGTCTTTAAGAAGCTTCCAATTGCTGTTTCCAATCCGTTACTGGATGTGAGCAACGTTATGTTTCGAGTCTGAGCAACGCATTTTGGTGACAGTTTTATAAAACTCGTTTGATCTAACCACTAACTAACCACAGATTCGGTGTGCTCATTTTCAACCAACTGGCTTCCTTTATCGTGTATTCTATTATATTGCAAATGGTATTGGTCGTTCTATCATATAATTCATTTAAGATACAGTTTGGCTGAGTATCCATATTAATGATTCCCATTGGTGAACATGCCAACTCTCCTTTGTTTAATTCTATACACCTTCCTTTTTCTTCATATGTCACTTCAAAATAATGTAAGTTATTGTAATCTACTGCAAGTAGATTCCTTGGGACCAACAACGAGCGCACAACACCACCTCTCACCGACAATGGAAGAGCTGTGACTCTCAGTAGGCTGTGGCAAATATATATATTAAAGAATTTATCTCCTGTGTATTGTGTTAACATAATAAATCACGTAAATACATATTTACACACAAGTCAAATATTTTACATACTTTAAAACAATTAATAACTCTTTATGCTTTTTCCTGAGTGTGAACAAAAATATATCAGTTACAGTTTTGTGCGAATTAATGGAATCACTGTGAATTTTTTTTCATTTTTTCAATATTCACAGTTGGCAACACTACCTACACAGTTGACAGCTGACCAAGCATTGAAAACATAACCTTACTGTGTGTTGGTGTTTGAGTGTGTTTTAGGTCATTTCTTACCAAGCTTGTGTTGTTTTGGGGGTTTTTGTACTATTTTGTGTTGTTTTTGGTTTTATTCCAACATGGATATTACGCCTAGGAAGCGTGAAAAGATTGTCACGTTGAGTGTTAACACTAGTATGTCACAAAGAGAGATTGCTAGAACGTGTGGAGTGAGCCAGGGGGTAGTAAGCAAAATTTTAAAGCGTAAACGAGAAACGGGATCAGTGGATGTGAAAAGGTTAGGAAAATGTGGAAGAAAGAGAAAAACAACACCAGCAGATGATTGATTTTTACTTCGAAAGAGCAAATTGGACCCAAGAAAATCAAGCCAAGACCTACAACAAGATCTAGCAGCATCAGCTATAGTGATTCATGACTCAACTGTTCGTAGAAGACTTTTGGAGAATGGTAGAAGGGCAATTCGTCCACAGAAAAAACAGCTTCTAACTGAACGAATGAAGAAACAAAGGCTACTGTGGGCCAAAAAATACCCTAATTGGACTGTAGGCGACTGGAAAAAAGTCCTATTTACAGATGAAACTCACTTTATAGTTCAGGGACAGCGGTCGAAATTCGTCAGGAAGTCTGACAATGAAAAGATTACACCATCTCATATTGATCAAACCGTAAAACATCCAGTCAAGAAAATGTTTTGGGGATGTTTTTCATACATGGGGGTTGGATCTTTGGTGCCAATTGAAGGCATGATGAACAGCCAAAAATACAAATCCATGTTGAAAAAGTATTTGGACAAACAACTCCAAAAATGTCAACCCCAAGGAGGAGCGATTCTTCAACAGGACTCTGCTCCCTGTCACAAATCAAAGGAAATGATAGCATTTTTCAAAAATAAGAAGATTAATGTTTTAGATTGGCCCGGTAATTCGCCCGACCTCAACCCCATTGAAAATTTATGGGCCATTTGCAAAGCTAGACTGCGAAAAATCGACTGTATCACTAAAACAAAAATGATAGAAGCGGCCATTCAGGTTTGGTATTGAGATGAAAGGATATCTGACAACTGCCAGAAACTCATAGAATCTATGCCAAAACGGGTAAAAGCAGTAATTGCTGCCAAAGGGGGACATATTTCCTACTGAATGATGTAAGTTTACCTTTATAGTTTTGTCAAAATATAATTTTTTACTAAATAAACTGTTTTTTCATTAAAACAGCCTATGATTCCATTAATTCGCACAATACCTTTCCTTGAAATTATTAAACTTTGAAAATATTGATCAAAGAATGGGGTTAACCTTACCTCTGAAAATATTTTTATGCTATAAGTATTGTCATCATCCATAAAATATACAAAACCTTTGTCTCTTCCATTCTTTAAGTTATTTCTTAACCAATTGAGACCTTTGTTTCTTTGTTCTACACCTCTGTGACGTTTCCATCTGGGATCCTACAACAAATATATACTATTTTAATTTTTTAAGAAGAAGGGTGCGAAATAAAGTGGGCTTGTAAATATTTTATATTAGAAATGAAAAAAAATATATTTAAAAAGAAAATATATTTTTGTAATTCACCTTTGCTTTAAGCTTCTCCAATGATGGAGTTTTCGCTGCTAAATGTGTAGCTTTCAGCCCAGAGTCTGCAATTAAATTAGTGACTAGATCTGATTTTTCATCTGCATCCTCTATCACAATCCAATGGATATTTGGAACAAGCATCAGCATTTGCGAGATTCTGGTTAGTTCTGCCTTTTGAAGATATCTGCAAATTGAAAAATTTTAGTAGTAGTAAAAAAACTAAATGTTTTTGCAAGATATTTAATTTTATGAAGAAATTGTTGAGTATCTCTCAGTAAGTTTAAAATTATTTTAGACGTTTTTTAATAAATAAGTGACCTGTGATTATCGCTATTTTTATTCAATTTTACCGCTGTTCACTACTGTATTATTCTTATGATCATTTAAATATTTATTTATTAATGAAATTTTGGACTACATATCTTATTGTAAAGAAAGATACACTTAATTCAGGCTTTGAGGTCCAAAATATTTATAAAAAATCATATGTGTCGTTTAATTGTTGCATATAATTTATTACGATAATAATAATGATGGTGTAATATTCTATCTTCTTCCTCTTCTCTTCTTAATGAGTGGAGCCTCTCTCTTCTTATTTTCATTTGGAATAAAACGTCCTGGTAGTCTCTATGTAAATGATACATATACCAACGCACAGTACTGTGTTCTGGATGGCAAGCTGCGAGTGCCTATCTATCAACTAATAAATATTTTTATATTTTATATTCAACTGTCCAGTTCTTATTTTAACATGTTCCTTCGTATTTTATTTTCTTATTAGTAAAGTTAGTCTAGACTGATTTATCTTCAATAAATTTTACACCCCATTTTATGACCAGCTTTCTGTGGCATTGGCTGCATTTAATAGATTGTCCCTTGATTTTGCTATACTAGCCTCTACTGTTAAAACTATTGTGTTATCAGCAAACAAAACCAAGTTTATGTTTTCTAGCTCCATAACTATTAGAACGTTTGCAAGAAGTCGGTTTAGATGGACAAGACATCAAATTCTTAAAAAACTTGTACTGGAACCAAAACGCCAGAGTTAGGAACGAAGGTTCCACATCCGAGGAAGTAGAAATTAGGAGGGGAGTTAGACAAGGTTGTGTTCTGTCGCCTTTGCTGTTTAATCTTTACTCCGAGTTTCTATTTAAAGAAGCACTGGAGGATTCCAAGGATGAAGTCAAGGTGAATGGCGTAAATATCAACAGTATCAGATACGCCGATGATACAGTGTTAATTGCGGACTCCGACTCAGGTCTACAACGACTCATCGACAAGACCAACTCGACCTGTGAGCAATTTGGTATGAAAATAAACATTAAAAAAACCAAAGTGATGTCAATCCGAAAAAACCAAAACGTACCTCAACCTTGCACAATAAATGGGCACATCTTAGAATAAACTGCTTTGTGATTCTCGAATAAAACTCGAAATTCGACTACGTTTATCAAAATGCTACGTCTGGTCGACTCTTCTACAGATAGAACGAATTTAAAACGGAACATACAATTTAATATATGTCTGTTTGAACTGCATTTGAAATAGTGGACCAATATAAAACTTGGACAAAAATAAATCAATACCTGGGTATAGACATTGTATAAAATATCGTTCAACTATCTGTCTCGTAACAATGTTGTTTGTGTAACAATGTTGCTTGTCTAAGGAAGTTTTTAATAGTTCAGGAAATGAAGCTCGAAAAGTTAAAACCTCGCAATTTTTTCGTCCTGCATGAATTGAGTTGAAATTTTAACAGAAGGTAGGTGATAGCCCAAGGATCAAAATCTATATCGAACCGAAGTGCGCTAAATGGTTTTAGGAGTGAAAACTACCCCTAATTGTCAAAAATTATAAAATAACATATTAAACCTGAATATGGGTAAGATTTGGTTTGAATTAGTTAAATAATGATTATATTATACTTTTGAATAGAGTTCCATCATATTTCAACCCTTAAAAAGCAACCCTTGTTAGAGATTAATGTAAAAAATTACTAATTCTAAAAAAATGATTTCGCATTGGATCGATTTGGATAAAAATTTGGATTTAAGCTCAATTCACCCGCTGCTTTATAGTTTATGTCATGTAGACGAAACCTGATTGTTCTTAGGGGTGAAAACTAGCCCTAATTGTCAAAAATTATAAACTAACATATTAAACCTGAATATGGGTAAAATTTGGTTTGAATTAATTAAATAATGACAGTTTCGTGCTTTTGAATAAAGTTCCATCATATTTCAACCCTTAAAAAGCGACCCTTGTTAGAGATTAATGTAAAAAATTAGTAATGCGAAGAAAATGATTTCGCCTTGGAACGATTTGCATAAAAAATTGGAATTAAGCTTAACTCACCCTCTGCTTTATAGTTTATGTCATGCCGATGAACCCTGACTGTTCTTAGGGGTGAAAACTACCCCTAATTTTCAAAAATTGTAAAATAACATTACAAATCTTATGATGTGTGAAATTTGGTTTGGATTAGTTAAATAGTGATTTTTTTATACTTCAAAATATACTTCATACATTTTCAACCCTTAAAAATCAATTGTTATGAGTGCTATAGGTAAAAACAATTTTTTGCCAAAATTTTGCAACTTTTCAACTTTTGAAAATCACCCTTTACAACATTGCAGTTGTAAAGGGTGCAGTTTATAAACTAATTTAATAGATATAAATTGAAAAAAGTAGAATTAAATACAAAAAAAATTATCAACATAAAAAGGCACCATATATTCTTATACATTTACATAAATAGTTGAAAATATTTACATTTATAGGTAAAACAATTATAATATTAATTTTATTCGTCATCAATTACATCTTCATCGTGATTTATGTCATCCTCATCTTCTTCAATTATGGGTGGACTATTATTGCACCCTTCACCTGAGCACCCAGAACAAGTAAAGTTACAGTATAAGCCAACTTTTCTGCACCCACATAAAACGCCGCATCCTTTTTTGCATTGCAAAAAATAATTTTCAAAAGTTCATCGGAGGCAGGTTGTTTGTTCATGCGTACGGGTAATAACAAACCATCTTTGGAATACCATCCCCAGTCTGTTGCTCTGATATTTTCATTGCCAACCATAAACATATGAGCAAATGTTTTATTCTGTTGTATGGGATTTCAAAATAAGAACGCTTAAAATGTCGAATGTATAACGCCCCAATACGTAATATACCGGTTTTTGTAGATAATTATGCTCCAAAATGTACTGTACTATACTAATGGAATTTTCCGAAAAAAAATTAATTGGTTTCTTAACGTATTTCCTTCATTTTTAACGATAGAGTGTTTCCCCAAAAACGATTTTGTAGAGGTTTTTAAGAGCTACAAGGATCTGTAAATTAAATCTCTTTGGAACCCTTGGTTTTTAAATGAGGTGAGTTTAAAGGGCTCGAAAAAGATGGTGCTTGATCGTAAATCGATGCTTTAAACGGCTATATCGCGCCAAATATTCATTGTACAACAAATCCAAATAAAGGAAAATTTTAGTCATTAAAAATGCTACAATTTAGTACATTTTTATTTCTTTCATATATTCAGTATTTTCGGGGATATTTAAAAAAAGAAGGGTAAAAAATATGAAATTGTAAATCGTTTCTCGCTTTAAGCTGTACTTTTTCTAAAACTAAGCATTTTAAATGGGTCAAACTTCTTGGACGTATTAACAATACATGTACAAAGAGAATTGCAGAAGTGTGAAGATCGATTTTAATTATGGGAGTGGTTAGGCGGTTGTTTTCATCGATTTTTTCGTAAAAAAATGAGGTATTGGCCTTATTTTCATCATAACTCACTCAATTTTGAGCTAGAGTCTTTTTTTATGATAGATCTATTTATGCTCTTTAAAAAGGTTGCGTGAGTTTTCTTCCAAAAATGCATCATTTTCCCGATATTTGACTTTGAATCTTTCAAATTTGGCATTTGAAGAAAACCGCTGAACATTGATAGGCCGTATTTCGGTTCTTATTATATCGCAAAAACATTTTAAAAAATGAATTGTATTTGTCTTTTTAAAAGCTACAAATTTGTTCTCTACAATTTTTTGATAAAATGCACCATTTTCGAGTTATTCGCGAAAAATCGATTAAAAACGTCGATTTTTTCGTCTAAAAGTTGTTACTTTCAATCGCGAATAACTTGAAAAATATGTTTTACAAAAAAAATGTATAGAACATTTTTTGTTTATAATCACTTTTTTAATCGAAATCTGTAGTTAAAACGTAAAAAAATTTTCACCCCCGGGATGGGGTGGCAACCACCCCCAAGGCTTTGGTGCACTTTGGTTCGATATAGATTTTGGTCCTTAGGCTATTACCTACCTTCTGTTAAAATTTCAAGTTAATCCACGCAGGACGAAAAAATTACGAGGTGAAATGCTTCATTTCCTGGACTATAAGTGATTTGACAGCATAATAAAATCGTAGATTTATGTGTAGCTTTCAACTTTTATGAGTTCAGAATCCAGCAGCCCGCAGAGGGATTGGGTTTTTATAATATAATTATTTGACAACCTTTTGTTGGCCAACCTCCTACAGCAGAAATGAGCCGAAATACATGATGTTTCCTATGTTCCGAATTTATTTCGTTCAATCTGTATATGCAGTTGAAACGTGGACCCTTAAAACATCAACCGTAAATAAATTGGAGGCCTTTGAAATGTGAATCTACCGGAGAATACTCAAAATTTCATGGACATCGCATACATCAAACGAAGAAGTGCTGCATAGAATAGGCAAGAAAGGAGAACTTTTTAACACAGTAAAAGTTAGAAAAACATCATACCTAGGCCACATACTGAGAAATAATAAGTACCAATATGCCCAACTTATAATGAAAGGAAAAATCGAGGGAAAGAGAGGCCTAGAAAAGAAAAGACTATCGTGGCTCAGAAACATCCGACAATGGACAGGGCTAAATTTTGAACAGCTAATAAGAACAGCTGAAGATAGAGAAGAGTTTAAAATTGTAGTAGCCAACCTCCATTGAGGAGAGGGCACTTTAAGAAGAAGAAGCTCCATAACGTCAGATGTATCATTATCACACAACGTGGTGTAGCATCCAATGCTGAATATCGGCCCCTCTCAGTTAACTCAAGTTCTTCCGATCTTGGGCCTTGTTAATTTAGTTTTTTGTAATCCTCTGATTAGTGGAATTAGTTCACCATGTAGAAGGCGTTGTCGTGCCATATGTATGCCATGCTGTGCTCAGTTATTGCATAATTCAAGACTTCGTAAAAGTGTCCACAGAGAGGGAGTAAGTACATAGAAATATTTGAGGTGCTGAAACAGGAGCTGTAGATAACAATTATCAATCGGAGCATTTATCTAGTTTTAGACTGTTCAGTGAGCGTTTTGAGGCTTTTTTTTAAATAAATTATAAATAAGAGTTATCAAGGGTTGAAATTAGTTCATCGCAATCACGTCTCGTATTAAAAGTTTAATTTAGTATCGATTTTTGGTAAGTTTGGATAGACTAACACGTGGTATACACTTGGGAAATAAATTTTTTATATATATTTTTTAAATAAACATAATAATAATTTACAAGGCTTGTTCATACAAAAAAGGTCACATGTACTATATATCACGATTTTCACGTGCAAAATAGATATGCGAACAGTCCGCCGCCAGTGCACAGAAAAGGAGCGCCATCCACGGAAGATTAATTAAGTCACCAATTAGACAAAGCAACATAAATCGTAGAACTGGCAATGATTCAAGTCAAAAAAATATATGAGTAAGTCAAACTGACGAGCAAAGCGAAGCGGGAAATAAAGTTAAAATCGATGGAATAGAAACCAACAACGTAAAAATGTCGCATTTAATCCCCATCAAGCAGCATTCAATTATAACCTGGTAATCGATTGTAGTTCCCAGCAAATCTTTGCTATTGGACAAATGAATGTTGTGTATCCACATTGCAAAGCATTTAAATTTAAAGGTAAACCTTGTGTTGTGTTGCGGCAGTGGCCAAGTCAAATTAACACCAGAGCCATTACATCTATTGATTTCTGGAAAAAAACCCAGATTCTATACATTTTTTGACTCATACTCATTCAGTAATACAATAATTGCTTTCAAATGACTTCATTTGGCGCAACAAAAGTTATTCAAGATAATTTTACGCCTATTGTCAAGGTAAGTATAATTGGAAACAATCAACTTTTACCACCATGTGGCTGGCGCCACAATCATATGTTGAAAGCTTTCAGTTGGCATGGTGTAATTGGATCTGAATTACAAGAAACAACCAGAAGTGCGTGTTTTTACGGAAGTTGATAGAGCAATGGCAGTTTGCCAGTAACATGGCGGTAAAAAAATGGCTATACCTATATTACATCTATTTATTCATGCAGGTTCAGGGTCAAATGTAGCACTGAACAGGTTCCTTATTGTCGCCAACGTCAGATAGTAATCAATCCAGTTACAGGTAAATATAAAATCTATGTTTACTATCTTAATCATAATGTTACTTTCTCTTTACTAGTTCTACAAGTTCAACGAATTATTATTTATACAGACGGGTGGTTCGAGAAAATTAGGACAATCACATCTTAAAATGCTCACATCTATTTCAACAATATGCTGTGGAATTGTACACCAAAGTTGAAACTGAGAAATTGACATTTATCAGATTGAACCGGGAAAAACTCCATTCTAAGGAATATATTCACCTTCGGGAATCCACCAACGCTGACGGAAATGCATAGAATGTCGGAAAAATTTAAGAAGATCAGTGCCAGCAAAACTTAATGCATGTTTGAAGTCATCCCATTGTGTAAATACGTGAAAAGCCTTAAATGAAATAATAAACATGCAGTCGAATTCCTGAACAAACGATCTGGAGAAGTTTTTCCAAACAATTACTGAACATTGCAAATTTCGGCAAAATTTCTGTTGACACATTTTCTGGATACATTACATTCACTGATAATTTTTGTCAATCTGCTGAATCAAAGACGGAATTCATTGGCGTTCCCAAATATTACCCAATGCAAATTATAAAAACAATACTTGCTTGAACAAACATATTATATTAACTGTAAAAAAAAATGTTGATATCAATGCAAGAGATTGTCAGATTCAAATTAAAATAGCTGGTAAATCGGTTGATTCTCTTACTAATCAAGATATGTTGTCCATTATCCAATGAAATTTTTAAATTCAATGAAATTTCTCAGATTAACACTTTATAATCTGCAATTCAAAGAGGGATCAGTAATCACTATGTTGCATAACATAAACCAGTCCCTTATTTATAATGTCACTAGTCTTGCGATTAAAAAAAAAAAATAATAAACAATGTCATCAAAACCACAATTTTGAAAGGGAAGTAGAAAGGCGAATATGTTTTGGTTCCATTCATCCATATGATTCTGAACGACATGCCATTCAAGTTTAAACTGTTACAATTTCCAGTGCGACTTGCATTTGTAATCTCCATTAAATGTTGTTGACATCAATCTTGAAAATCAATGTTTTTCAAATGGCTAATCGTATATCACCTGTTCATGTGTCAGAAAACCATCAATATTATTTATTTACATACCAGAAAACAAAACTAACAATGTTCTGTATCAAAAGCATTACAAAAACACTATGTTTTTGAATTTTGTTTATTATTTACACCAGTTTGAATAATTTTGTTTGATTAACTTCTCTTTTATAATATAAAGTTTATTTGTTTTTGCTATCAAAAAAGCTACTTCAAATAAAACCTTCAGACACTTTAAAAAAAACCTTTGTAATAATTTCCTGACTTATTTAATCTCATTTGCATAAGTAATTCTGGTTGAGAAGAAAAACTCTTTCAACTACAAAATCAGAATAAATTGATATAAGGTTGAATGCTGGAATAAATGAACTTTGATCAAATGAAAAGGCAGATATCTAGCACTGTTTGTTAATTAAATCTTGCCCGTCCTTTCGCTTCCTAGAGCATCTTCAGGGGCATTTCGCCAATTTTGGCCTACCCAACAAATTGTTGGATATCCATCAAACTGAGAGAATGATGCCATTATCTCTCCTGATGCCAACCATAATGTAGCTTTGGCTTTTTTTTATTTTAAACTGGTTGTCATTGTATAGTGTAGTGTAATGTACAAAATATGTTTATGACAATCTCAAAAGTTTGTTGGATAGGCCAAAATTGACAAAATGCCCCTGAAGATGCTCTAGGAATCGAAAGTACTTGGGCAAGATTTAATTAATAAACTATGCTCGATATCTCCCTTTTCATTTGATCAAAAATCAGAAGCTATTTCATGAAGCTATTCTGCTTCAAATTTCAGTACCTCATTCTATCATTAATTACAGGTTTATCAAAACTTAATATTGTCTTCATGTTTCTCTGTCATTATTTGATTCAAGAGACTAAATTAAATTTCCCAGTAGGTATATTGAACTATATTTTTTTTATAAACACATATCTGTATAATTATAAATCTAACAAAGTAAATAAAAATGATTTCAATTTGATAGGCAGGAGTGTCACTACTCTTAGTTCAATTTGAATAGTGTAGAGGTTTCACGGTTCAAATTTTGACAAAGGCTAGCATAACAAAAAATTTAAAATTAAAGTTTTAATTTAAAATCCAAAATGGATCTGTGACTGAAAATAGAATATGCTGGTGAATCTGCTTAACTGATATATAAGCAGTGCAGTAAAAGATGTAGCTTATAGACTGGTAATATGATATTGATGTTACTCAAACATACTTTTTAATAGCAAATACGTCAGAAGAGGGGTAAGGGGAAATTTTCACACACTGCAACCATATTTCTCAACAAAATAAAGCTCTTCTATAAAGTTTTTGTGAGCTTGTGTACAGTATGAAACTAACAACTTACAATATGCGAGTACAGTATGCAATTGTTCTTAGACACATGAGGTGTGCATTTTTTTGTTGTTATAATCAGTTGTACTGCAGCTCTTCTAACTCAGGTTTTTAGTGTTAAATAGCTGAAGTTGAATACTTTACACACCCTCCAAAGCCTGATGGTAGCTCAGTTAAATTAGAAATTCAATAATGTCTAGTGTCTGTGCCATGGATTGAACCTGAACTATCTAGTATGGTAAGCCAGTACCACAGCCACTTAGCTATGGCCACAACATAAGGGATGCATTAGATATTGACTCATGACAACAACATCAAGTTTTTAAACAGTGAAAGACATAATAATACATTATTTAATTTTTATTTACATTATGTAATCTACCTGTTAAATTAATAATTTTTTTAATGTATTCATATATCTCCTTCTAGACATCTCTCTATGACTCATTGTTAAGTCAGTCTCTAAAGTATTTCTACATGCCTTTGTCTCCTCGTTGTTCTCATTTAATAAATAAAGATTAACAATCGGCACATAAAGTATAATGATAGTTACAAAACAAACTATGAAGCACTTCAATAACACTTACCTGTAATATGTAGGAGTGATAGCATATATAGTTGGTATGTCATCTACATTCTGACCCTTCTCAAGCATTTCTAATAATTTCACTTGTGGAGGTGTTAGGTGCAATTTGTACTGGTATTCCCTTATCTTGTCTTTAATCTCTATTTCCCTGGGATCATTAACTAGAAATAAGTTTATCTAAGAAATCCATTTATTTTGTTGGCCAATAACAAAGTTAAACAAGAAACATGGCACAAAGAATTGTTTACAGGAAGATCAAAAAGACATGATTAAAAATGAATTTGTTCAGGTCATTCTAAGGATGGAAGGTATTAATTAAAAGATGAGAGAAAATAATTTAATATATTTAGGGTAAAATCGAATCCAAGAAGAATTAATTTTAATGAATATCTACTACCTATCATTTTCTAGACAAAATTTAAATAAATTTAACATTTTAATTACTCATTTGTTTTAACTCTAAATATAATTAGTAAAAGTAAGATTTATGTGATGATGTATTTACAATTCCTTACAAATTCAAGGTGTTAAATGACAAATAAGTAATCACAACAAGGTTGTTTTAAATCAATAAAAATTGTGAAGTCTTACCATTATCCATTGTAATCACTTTCCAGAAAATCAGCATACATGATACTATTAAAAAATACACTATATATTTTCTGAACTTTCTATTTTCCATGTAATCCATTCTTAACATTTTAAAAAAGGTTTCTTGTAGAAGTAATCAATTGCTCTACATTTATATTTAGCTGTTTAAGAATAGATTATAACTTTCATAAATACACTGTTTTTCTTTCGTGTATTTGCATTTCCTATTTTCAAAACACATTATCTCAATCCATTTATTTATTTGAAGATTCCTTATTTACTCCACTGTTTGTTAAAGCTTATTATACACGTATTTTAAAAATATTATACCACCGAAATACTGCCTTCAAACTTGGCAGATAAAATTGAGGTTAGAAACTGTGCGAAGATAGCAACAATATCCTTAACATGTTATTATAATTCATAGGCGTATCACCAGAGAACTACGGAACACTTTGTTCGTAGTTCTCTGGTATCACATTGAAGTAGTCTAATAATATTTTTTTATCTAAATGGATAAACGAATTTCAAATACGGTATCCATATCTGGGCGTTTTAATTCTACGAAGTTTACTTTATTTTTATATGACTTACTTACATTACAAAATTTACCTATTTTGTTTAATACTTCGTTATACCTATTTTTTATATCGAGTTTTTATTGAGAGTACCTACCGAGTACGAGTGGCAAATTTTATATTGTACTATAGTAACTATAGAAGGAACATATTGAATCAGCAGCACAAGATGAAATAGGAACAGAAACTTTTACCCGAAAAATCACTGGTTTGACGATGAATGCAAAGACGCAACACAGAAAAAAAAAAATGAAGCCTATGCAAAAATGCTTACCCACCGAACTAGAACAAGTAGGTATAGAGAATTACCAGACAAAGAGAAGAGAAGAAAAGAAACCACTTAAAAAAGGAACTTCAATATATAGAAAACCTCAACAGAGAGAAAGAATTCAGAACATTCTAAAATAAAGTTAATATCAACAGAAAAGAATTCAAGGCAAACACAAAACAATGTAGAAGTTTGAATAGAATAGAATATTTTAACCACATACTTAATATAGAGGAAGAAGGAGAAAACCCGGAAGACGAAAGCTGTGAGGTAAGCGGAGCAGACGAGAAGGAGGAGGATCCACCAACGATCCTGGAAGTTAAAGACGCTGTAAACAAACTAGTCAGAAACAAATCACCCGGAATAGATAATCTCCCAGCGGAATTATATAAAGAAGGTGGCCACGATATCATTAGCGCTACAGCAGCTTATAAAAGAAATACGGATACAGAAGTCCCTTCCCAGTAATTGGAATATTGGAATACTTTGCACCATACACAAAAGGGAGATATCTTTGAATGCTCTAACTATCGAGGAATTACGCTTCTAAATGCAGCGTATAAAATATTCTCCAATATGCTATGCCACTGTATGGCACCATATGCAGAGCGAATAATAGGACAATACCAGGCTGGTTTCAGAGGTAGTAAATCAACAATTCATCAGATTTCAACCCTTAGACAAATTCTAGAGAAAACACTGGAATACGGTGTAGACAGGCACCGCATATTTATAGACTACAAGGCAGCCTACGACTCTGTAAATAGAAGATAATTGTTTAGAGCAATAATAGACCTAGTAGTACCAAATCAGTTGGTAAGTCTAACCAAACTAACCCTTGAACAAGTTGAATACAGAGTACGAATCCAGGGGGAACTTTCTGAACCTCTTAAAACAAATAACGGGCTACGTCAGGAAGACCCACTTTCCTGTATACTATTCAGTCTAGCTCTGGAAAAAGTAATAAGTACGTCATAAACCACAACTACTGGTTCAATATATAACAAATCTGTGCAAACCCTAGCATATGCAATGATGTCAATATTGTTGAGAGAACGGAAAACGCAGCACGAGAGGCGAACGTAGCACTAAAGGAAGCGGCTACAAAAATGGGTTTAATAATAAACACCAATAAAACGAAATACATGACAATAGGTACGCAACCACAAATACTACTATGGCCACTTGTTATAGAAAACGACGTCATCGAAGCAGTTAACGAATTTGTATACCTGGGAACACTCGTCAATACTGAAAATGATACTACCACAGAGATAAACCGCAGTAAATGAAAATGGTGTCTAGTGAAGACGATACAACTTCGAACTCTATAGAATATACCAGGAACCAAATATCGTAAAATACATTAAGATAGGACGTCTGAGGTGGGTAGGCCATGTAATGCTGATGGAGCAAACCGACCCAGCTAAAAAAACGCTTCTTGATAGACCTATTGGTCAAAGAAGAAGAGGAAGACCCAGAACAAGATTCCTAGATAACATAGACCAAGATATGAGAAATATGGAAATACGTGCTTGGCGGAGGAAGGCGATGGATAGAGACGACTGGAAGAGAATTCTTGGGGAGGCTAGGACCCACACAGGGTTGTAAAGTCAAAATGATGATAATGATAGTAACTATAGTATAATAACTCTCTGTATAGCATAAACATAATCACATTGATTTTTTAAATATGATAAAAATATCTCCAATCGTTCTTACAAAATCAATGTATCACTAAGATTTGATTATCATGTTTTCTTTTTTTATTGATTATAGGTCTTGGTTCCGGAGAATATAATTTATTATACTCCCTCAGTAGGTATGCACCTATCTAGTAATTAAATAGTAACCACGAATGGAACATTTTTTTATGAATTCGCGTAGTTTCTGCTTGTAGGTTGTTTTGTAAAAAATGAAATAGTCATAGTTTGTATTATTATATTTATCATCATATTTGGCTGGACAATCCTCTATGAATCCTGGCCTGCTCTAAGATTAGTTGTCATTTTGTTTGGTTTCTGGCAACGTATTTCCATCTTCTGTTCTCTAGTATCTTTAAGTCCGTCGTTAGGTGCTCCTCGTTCCTTCGTTCCTGTCGTTAGCTTTTCGAAATTAAATCTTTTGCGCCACTGCGCTTGATCGTTTATAGCTCCAAATATTTTGTGGAATATCTTACGCTCGAATATTCCCAGAAGTCTTTCACCCTTCTGCGTCACCATAGAATGCCTTATTTGTAAGTTTTATTTGTCTTTTAATTTCTTCGCTTCTTTTATTGGTAGTAGTCACTAGCGAGCCAAGGTATGAAAGCTGTTAACACGTTCAAAGATATGACTTCCAAATGCTGTTTCCCGTTCCTCATTTGCTATAGGATTCTTAGTAACCAACATGTACTTGGTTTTGTCTTCGTTGATGACTAGATCTACCTGTTTTCAGCGCCGTTTCCAATTCTAGGAATAATTGCTCAACATTTCGCTTGCTACGCCCTATTATGTGGATCAAAGTATGCTAAGATTTGTATCAATCTATTGTAAATAGTACCACTGTCTCTAATTTGTGTGTCTCGGACTGCTTGTAATAAATAATGTCGTGGGGTAGTAAATAATATGTTGTTGTACTTAGTTAACCATTTATTTAACACTACTGTACACTCTTTAATGTTACTTAATCTAAATATTTCAGTACTTAATTGACGCTGACTATATGCGGCATTAACTTGCCATTTTGACGGTACATTAATTAAGATCCTGAGAGAATGATTGTTGGGGCTTTTATAGAAGTCCTTTGCTATATCAGCAAAGGTTTACTTATTAGTATGTCAAGTTTGTTCATGACCTACGCCAAGCATGTGGTGATCGGCAATAGCGCTGATTTAACAATTCTAATTAGAGTATGTTATTTATGAATGTCCTTGATTCAAATTACTAAATATATTTATATAAACAGAATGTTAAATGTTACACGGGTATGAATTATAATATTTTATATATGTGAATTCTAATATTTAGGGAATAACACCACACCATCCCCTTTACGGAAAAAATTTCTCTTTTGCAACTGAGATTCTCTCTCTCTTTCCCTTTTGGAAAAAGAGAAATTTTGCAACCTCAAATAAGTACTGTTTACCTATGCTATACAAATGTTGGTATATATTTCCTTACTTTTAGTAAAAATTTAGTAACATAACCTTACCTCAGCATATTATAAGGTTACCCTAATTGTTCCCTTGTGATATGCTATCTGGTATCCTTCATTATGCCTTTACTCGGACGTTTTTTTCTTACCTTACGTTAAATCATTTAGATTATATTACCTTATATTACCCCTCTTATGTGCACATAATTTTTACAATAACCTTTACATATTTTACATAATAAATAAATTTATAATAATAAAATCTTATATTAATTCTTATATTAATGCTTGCATTAATTCTTGTAATGATTCTTGGTACCAAGTAATTGTTTTGTTTTCACATATACACGATTAGTCACTTTGACATCTCACAATAAAGTTTTGTCATTTTATCTATTTATTCATTTATCCCTATTTATTTTGTTTACCTACTATACAGTCTAACCTTTTTCTTTTTGCTATACACATTTAAAAACATATATATTGTACGAACTTAAAACTATATTTACACATTATATTCATTTAAAAATATCTCTATATATTATTTGCATTCAAAAGTACATGTATATATTACGAGTATATTCATTGACTCTAATTGTAGCAAAGTATTGCTTCCTTAATTATTCTAGCTATAAAATCTGTGCCTTGGTCTGCTATTATTTTTCTGGGTACTCCATACCTCAAGATAAATTTTTCTACCAATGATTTGGCTACTGTTTCATTTTCTATTATCTTGTACTATACAAGCTTTTATACTTTCTTAAAAAATTATTATTATTTTTCTCTTCGTATTTCATTAAGAATTGGCTGATTCTTATTTTTCATGTCTTCTTATTCTAATTTTTCATTATTATCATTTCTTTATAATCTTCTGCATTCATATTTGCCTCCTAATGATATTCCTGAAGCATAAATTCTTAACCTAAATTTGTTTTTCTTTGATAAATCGGGGAATTATATAACGGGGCTTATTAGCTAACGGGGATATGTCTTGAGCTTAATAAAATGCTTCTTGACATTCAGTAGTCCATTAAACTTTATTTTTCTAGATAGTCTGTTACGTGGTGTGGCTATTTCTGTAAAATTGATGACATGTTTTCTATAATAATTTGCAAATGCAACAATCGC